AAATGACTTGAAAATTTATAGGCATGTACCTCATATCATAGAAAACTAAAAAAAAACAATTCAGAGAAAAAAGGTTATTCTTAGGCCCTGAAATAATTTTTGGCGGGGGCCGAACGCCGTCAAGTTCGGACCCTGTACGGGACCCCGAACGCCCGTACGTACGGAGGTCTGTGCGGGGACCTCCGTACGTACGGGTCACCACCATCTTTGGCGATTTTTCATTTTGTTTTGTTGTGACAAATGCCGTGAAAATTTTTATATGTGTATCTTACATAAAAGAGAATGTAGAAATAAAGTTTGAAAAAATAATATTTTTTTTCATGCCCCGAAATAAAGGAAAATCAAAAAGTGAAAAGAGAAAAAAAACAAACTAGTGGGTGGGCAAACAAGTTTTGACACCACCATCTTTGCCGATTTTTCATTTTTGTTTGGCTTGACAGAATGGATTGAAAATTAAGGCGAGATACCTTACATCACAAAGAACACAAAAAAAAAAATTCAGAAAAAAAAAAAAATATTTAGGTGTCCAAATATTTTTTTGCGAGGTCCGAACCCCTTCAGGTTCGGGCCCTGTACGGGGGCCCAAATGCCCGAATGTTCGGGGGTCAGCTTAGGGGCCTCCGTACGTTCGGCCTGGCAACCCTGGGCGTTCGGGGGCCCAACACCTCCAGGTTCGGCCCCTGCCAAAAAACATTTCAGGGCCTAAAACTAAGTTTGTTTTTCTGACTTTTTTTTGTGAGTTATCTTTGATGTCACCTACACGCCTTTAAATTTTCAAGCCATTCTGCTAAGCCAAAAAAACATTAAAAATCGTCAAAGATGGGGGTGTCAAAACGTGCTCGCGCACTCACTATTTTTTTTTTTCACTTTTCACTTTTTGTTTTCACTTTATTTCGGGGCCTAAATAATTTTATTAGTTTTTGAAAAAAATATTAATGAGTTATTGATTATGTAAACTACATATTTGTAAATTTTCAGGGCATTTGTCAATGCCAAAAAATAATTAAAAATTGACAAAGATGGCGGTGTTGAAAAGGTGCTGGCACACTCACTCATTTTAATTCTCATTTTATTTTTTCTTATTTCTATCATATTGTTTATTTTCTGTATTTGATTTTTAATTCAAATTTGGTAAATAATCTTGATGTAGTGCCCAAGCAAATGTTGTTTAGTTTAGTTTTCTCCATAACAAATTGTTTTTTCATAATTTTTTGAAAACTTTTTGTTTTCGTTTTTTTTTTTTTTTTCTGTCCGCGTTGAATACAACCGGGAAGGCTAAGAAACGTCGGCATCGGAGTTGCCGTATCAGGAAGGGTAAGAGGGAGCGGCACAAGGCAAGCCTTAGGGATGAACGACACAAGGCAGACCAGGGATTGGACACCAGAGGTTCCAGTACGGTAACGAATGTCTGCGCGAAGTTGGATGATTGCGAAGACTGGACGGTGGATATTTTTAGACTCCTGCAGCAAAAAGAGGAGAGAGGGCGCCGATCGTTTAGGCTGACGATAAGACGAGGAAATAGTTGGTGTGGCGGTTGGAAGTCCGTCAAATCAGCATTCGGTTGCTGTATTGTGAGGGCGAAGGGACAAAAAAAACGACTTCACGAATGCAAACACTTGCTTGAGCAAGGGACCGAGTTGGAGTTCTGCCAACTTAGAAGATGGAAAATGAAGGTTGGACCAGATAAAAAGCTTTTGGTCTCCATGTTGCGCAATCCTGGTTTACTTGCAAAATTGCCTGACTATAATCTTGAAGCGCTGGTTCGTCTGATGGATACTGCTAAAGATTTTCAGCGATCGTTGACTACCGCTTACCTACGTAGACATATAGCACGCGTCATCAAGAGGTCGTTTGGTTGGTGTATTAATTCTAAGATAGTTGTTCGGCTGAAGTACGATGATCGGATCAAGTTGGTTGAGGTTAGGAAGGTGTTAAACGATAAGATTGAGTGTCTGGATATCCCTGCTTGCATCAAGTTTGCATCACGTTGCGCGGTTCGGATTGTCTGGGTTAAGAACCCCTCGGTCGCGGACCTACTACACAATCACCGCACGTTTGCGTGCGCTGATGTGTCAACCTGTTCTTGTGCAGGTTTCCCCTACCCCAGGGTAGGTGGCCACGTGCAGGCTCATTTGCAGGATATCGAGGGCGTCCATCCGCTCATTCTAAACGCGAATAACATCCCTAAGCAGTCGCACCCCAACCGTTGCGCGCTGTTGATTCAGGAGATTGAATTGGGCTTACAATCCTTGGCTAATCGCAGAGGGGAGACGCCATCTGTCCTACCGTCCGAAGTTCAGAGATGTATGGTCGCGCCATCGGGGGAAGTGGCTGAATACCTTGATGTGCGCTGCGTTAGGAATCTTGGTAGGGATCTTTCGGGTCTGGTACTGACACCATTGGATCGGAATCCTGGCGAGACTTTGGTACTATGCCCGAAGTTGTACTATGAAGCCATGATGGATTTGTTCGTATGCTCTTCGGGGTACATTGTTGTGGAGCAGGATGAGGCTGATTTATATACCAGGATGGTGGAGCACTTGCGGGAGCACGATCTGTTGCAGTTTGCGAGGTGGGATAAGAAGGGTAAGCTAGGTGAGGCTTACGTTCTACCTAAGCACAAGGACCTCTCCCGCTACCGACCTATCTGCCCCACTTTTTCGGAACCCACCAACAGGACATGTAAAAGTGTGGCGAAAGTGTTGAACCACCTGCTACTCGCCCTGCCGGAGAACTTGCATTTTAACTTTAAGTCGGTATCATCTCTGGTTCGAGTTTTGGAACGTGTCAACCGTACTGTCGGTCGAAAGTCCTCTCGCGACCCGGAACTTGCTGGTATGTCTTATGATATTAAAGACATGTTCAACAAGCTCCCCCATGATGAGATCATGACAATGGTCGACTGGATTATCGATTACCATCAGGGTAAGGGTCGTACCTCGGTTCGCATTAACACTCGAGGAAAGAGTAGCACCTTTGGTAGAACTACGGGCGATGACCATTGGAGGGAAGTTGACTTGGATGTTGTCCGCGGCTTCGTGTTGCTAGACCTTAGGAACACTTTTACGCGTGCTACTGGTGTGGTGTTGAAGCAGGTGGTCGGGATCCCGATGGGAAAAAGCACCAACCCGCCCCTAGCGTGTATTCTGTGTGCCTTCGCTGAGTTTCGCTTCTTGAACTCCATTGGGAAACTCCGACGTTATGTGTTCGGCATCTAACTTATGGATGATGTTAGTCTTCTTATCAGTAAATTGAAAGGGGGTCGGGAAGTGGTAGACCGAATCCGGATTTGCTTTGAGCAATGTTATCCGGATAATCTAACGCTGGTACGAACTGACGACGGAACTGGGTCTTGGGATTTCCTGGGAACAAAAATGAAGGTTGACCGTATGCAGCCTTTTGTCAGCTGCTACCAGATGCTGAAGAACGAGCATATGATCTGGGAACATGAGTGCCTCGAATTCAAGAACGGCCAGACTTACCAATCCTGGGGTAGTAAAGATCAGAAAAGCGCTGCTGTTTGCAGTTATCTACATCGTATTGAACGAAATACGAATGCAGTTGCTGAAATTCCCATGCGTGTGTTGAACCTGAAGCGTGAGCTTCGCTTGAAGGATTTTCCGAAGCAGTTCTTGCAACGGATACTGCGTAGTCTCGCAGTTGGTCGTGACCCGATCTGGGCAACCACATATCGTTGGCTGTACCTGTAAGCCGACACTTCCCTCATGGCTGCCTGTTGGGTTTTCTCGGTGCTTGTTATCTTTCTGGGTTTTTTAGTATTTGCCTTTTTCTTACTTGTAGCCCTTTCCGTGCTTCGGTGTTTTTCGTGTTATAGAGGAGATGTTTTGGATGTGCATGGCTTTTTGTAGGATTTTACCTTTATCCTTTGTGTATGTTGTACGTGGTTCAGTTTGTCGTGTTCCTAGATTAGTTGGACAGAGGTACGAAATGCGGTCCCGGTTATCGTTTTTCCTGGATTAGTTAGATAGGGTGGAACATTGAGACCTGGTTCGTTCTTTTTTTGTTTTTGGCTTCGTTTTTGTTTTTGTTTTTAGGCTTTGGGGTGTGCTTTTGTTTCGATCGAAGCCTATCTTTGGCTCTAGGTTTGGGACGTTCATCCGTTTATCCTTTAAGCACACGGACTTGCCCAGGTCTAGCTCCGTCGTGGGTTAAGGCCCGCACGTCGTGTGCCTTTGGTACAACTGGATTTAGTGAGCCCGGGTAATGCTGGGGTCCAGTTGAGACTTATACACCCTGGAACATTTGGTCTTTTAGGATGCCTGTAGGAATTTTGGCATTTTGCATTTTGTCTTTTGCCCTTCAGGAAGTTTCGCGGTGTTGATTGTTTGCTTCTGTTTCGGGTGTTTTCGCTGTGTGGTTTTGTTAGTGCTAGGACCGTGTTGGTTTGTTAGTGATAGGACCTTCCTATAAGTGTAATGATTGCGTCCATGTAGCTCTCTTTGGGTCCGACGTGGTCGGATGCGCTACCACTCCGGAGATGGTGGTGAGATCCGATAACGGAGGTGGGAACGATGGTTTGTTGACTTTTGTGACGGGACGAAGTGGTGGTATTCCCCCAGAGGAGGCCGTGTGGCGACGACCGAAACCGGTCGGGGTGCCTACCCACCGACGATTTGCAATCAACTTTTACTTTGTACCTTGGTGTACCGGTGACTTGCTTTGCTTTGACTCTGTCTTCTTGACTTTGTCTTCGCTCAGTCTCACTCTCTTTGTCAACTATAGAAGGCGTATGTGAACCAGCTTGGACAAGGCCGCCGAGCAAGTGTGAGCATACTTAGTTTGCTGTTACTTTCTGTTTGTGGTTACTATTGCGAGTCTCGAGTTTCTGCTTCGACAACCGTTACTACTCTCTGTTAAGGCTGCTGCTCTACTGGCGCTGACTATCTGCTTTGATGTTTTTCTTACTGCTAATACAGTGGTTATGGTTGGACGGGACGCCGGTGTGATGTGCTGTCTGGAGCATTTGGGTTAAGCGTCAACGTTTTTTGCAGAGCCTGGGCTGCAGAGCACCCTAAGCTGACCTAACACACGGTGAGTCCAGACGGTTCACCGTTAGTATTTTCAGTGGTCCTTCGGCACGGGGGGTGGAGCGACTATGACGAATGGAGGCTACCGTGGATTTGGTAGCGATCATGATCGTGATCAGTACCCGGATAATCGTCGTGACTTTGGGCGTGATGACCACCGTGAGCATAGCCATGATGTGCGAGGCGACTGTGCGAGGGAGTACGAGCGGGGTCCGACATACGAGAGAAGCCAAGACTATCGGGATCAACCTAGGAGGGCAGCTCCTGTTTGCTTTGAGTGCGGAGAACCTGGACATTATCGTAATCAATGTCCCAGGTTGACGGGGGAAGGTAGCTCGAGGGCAGGCATGACACCCGGCCGCTCGCTGTCTCCAAATAGACAACCTTCGGCGCATGGGAGACGCTCTACGTCGGAGGATACAACCGTTAAACAACAGTTGGAAGAGCTCGCTGGTTCACTGGCGAGTATGAAAGAGCACTTCGACCGAGAACAGGCGAAGAAGGACGAAAAGGCTAAGCGGAAGCATGAGAAGAAGGAGAAGGAGGAACGTGAGAAGGAGGAGCGCTTTGCTGCGAAGCGCTGTGAAGACTGAAAGGAGGAAAAGCTACGTCGAGATGAGATGGAACGGGAGAGGTTCCGTAAGGAGTTGCGAATGCAGATCTCCAAGGATGTTGGAGGTCTCGGTGAGCACCTCGAGCGCAGGATTAATCGTGTTATCGCTCTCGCTAAAGGGAAAGGCAAGGTCGAGGAGGTACTCTCCGAGGCGGAATCTTACGAGTCTGAGAGCAGTGACGTCGAAGCTTTGAGCGACCTGGCGGAAAAACTGACGATCCACGAGAAGCGCAAACGCGCCCCCGGAGAAGTGGTGGGCGATAGCCCTCCCATGGAGACACCGGCGAAGCGCTCCGGCAAACGTGGGGAACTGGATCCCCAATGGCTTACCAAGCGGCTACAGCTGAGCTCCCGCCGACCACCTCTCAAAAAGACGCCTACGAGGAAGACTCCGAGGAAGACGCCGCGATGTAGCGTGCTGGACCGATGGGGAAGCTTAGGTTCGTTACGGAGAACCTGAAGATACTCGGCAATATGACGATGGACCAGCTAAAGGAGATTTGCCGTTTGGAAGACGTTTAGTATGAGTCTAACAAGATGAAAACGATTCTTGCTATTACCGAGAAGCGGACACACATCGCTTATGGATCTGATCATGATGCTGCCGAGGAAGAGGCCGCGGAGCATGAGGATCCGGCGGCTGTTGCCGCTGATGATACCAAGTCAGACACAGAGGAGGACGCGGAGTCTTGAAGCGTTGGGCAACTATGGTGTCTTTGTCATGTTGTGATACAGGTCCGAAGGGAATCCACCTTCGACCCCACCTTGGAGCGACTATATCGGATGATTGTCATGTTGCTTGCTCTTTATGGTTAGATACGGTGGCTACATAAGTGTGCGGTGTCCTGGATTAGCTTGTTCGTACGCTATGGCTTGGTTATCTTCCTTGGCGAGGGTACTGGTGTTTACCTGATCTCTTCTCCGCTATGTAAGGCGACCTATGTAGGTCAGACGGGCCGTTCCTTCAACGTTCGTTGGAAGGAACACTTGTCTGTCTCAGGCCGTGGTTTTAAGAAAAACCACCTGTATCGTTGGTGGAGAGTTTTCGGAGAGGAATCTTATGTCTTGTTTCCTCTTGACATGTGTACGACGAACAATTTACCGAAACTTGAACAATTCTACATTCGTAGGTGGAGCCCGGTGTTAAATACAACCGGGAAGGCTAAGAAACGTCGGCATCGGAGTTGCCGTGTCCGGAAGGGTAAGAGGGAGCGGCACCAAGCAAGCCTTAGGGATGAACGACACAAGGCAGACCAGGGATTGGACACCAGAGGTTCCAGTACAGTAACGGCTGTCTGCGCGAAGTTGGATGATTGCGAAGACTGGAGGGTGGACATTTTTAGACTCCTGCAGCAACAAGAGGAGAGAGGGCGTCGGTTATTTAGGCTGACGATAAGAGGAGGAAATAGTTGGTGTGGGGGTTGGAAGTCCGTCAAGTCAGCATTCGGTTGCTCTATTGTGAGGGCGAAGGGACAGAAAAATCGACTACACGAATGCAAGCACCTGCTTGAGCAAGGGACCGAGTTGGAGTTCTGCCAACTTAGAAGATGAAAACCGAAGGTTGGACCAGATAAGAAGCTTTTGGTCTCCATGTTGCGCAATCCTAGTTTACTCGCAAAATTGTCCGACTATAATCTTGAAGCGCTGGTTCGTCTGATGGATATTGCTAAAGATTTTCAGCGATCGTCGACTATCGCTTACCTACGTAGACATATAGCGCGCGCCATCAAGAGGTCGTTTGGTTGGTGTATTAATTCTAAGATAGTTGTTAGGCTGAAGTACGACGATCGGATCAAGTTGGTTGAGGTTAGGAAGGTGTTAAATGATAAGATTGAGTGTCTAGATATCCCTGCTTGCATAAAGTTTGCAGCACGTTGCGCGGTTCGGATTGTCTGGGTTACCTGATCTAGGCAACCACATATCGTTGGCTGTACCTGTAAGCCGACACTTTCCTCATGGCTACGTGTTGGGTTTTCTCGGTGCTTGTTATCTTTCTGTTTTTTGTTGTATTTGCCTTTTTCTTACTTGTAGCCCTTTCCGTGCATCAGTGTTTTTCGTGCTATAGAGGAGATGCTTTGGATGTGCATGGCTTTTTGTAGGATTTTACCTTTATCCTTTGTGTATGTTGTACGTGGTTCAGTTTGTCGTGTTCCTAGATTAGTTGGACAGGGGTACGAAATGCGGTCCCGGTTATCGTTTTTCCTGGATTAGTTGGATAGGGTAGAACATTGAGACCTGGTTCGTTCTTTTTTTGTTTTTGACTTCGTTTTTGTTTTTCTTTTCAGGCTTTGGGGTGTGCTTTTGTTTCGATCGAAGCCTATCTTTGGCTCTAGGTTTGGGACGTTCATCCGTTTATCCTTTAAGCACACGGACTAGCCCAGGTCTAGCTCCGTCATGGGTTAAGGCCCGCATGTCGTGTGCCTTTGGTACAACTGGATTTAGTGAGCCCGGGTGCTGCTGGGGTCAAGTTAAGACTTATACACCCTGGGACATTTGGTCTTTTAGGACGCCTGTAGGAATTTTGACATTTTGTATTTTGCCTTTTGCCCTTCAGGAAGTTTCGCGGCGTTGATTGTTTGCTTCTGTTTCAGGTGTTTTCCTTGTGTGGTTTTGTTAGTGTTAGGACCGTGTTGGTTTGTTAGTGATAGGACCTTCCTATAAGAGTAATGATTGCGCCAATGTAGCTCTTTTTGGGTCCGACGCGGTCGGATGCGCTACGTATCCGGAGATGGTGGTGTGATCCGATAACGGAGGTGGGAACGATGGTTTGTTGGCCTTTGTGACGGGACGAAGTGGTGGTATTCCCCCTGAGGACTTATCATGTCTTTAATGGTCTAGTATGTATGGGCAGTTGGTTGGTGTAAACGTATTCCCTCCACATGTTAGCAGCTAATGTAGGGGAGAGTTAACCACCAGTACATATGAAAGAGCAAATCGAGTCGTTTCTAAAAAATAGGAGACCATGAACCGCTGATTCATTTTATCAACGGTCCATGGCCTCCGAATTTTTCAGAGAGGCCCAAACTGTTTTTTCAAATACAGTGATGGTCTAAACAAAGAAAGTGAACTGGGATAATGATATTTGCTTCTTCTTTTTCATTATCTAGTAGTTGTATAGTCCTAGTTGGGAAGTTATCAATGAGATAGAAATATTTAGAGATCTAGTATGGGGTATTGGACTAGCCTACCCTCAACTTGAAAAAAAACTCAATTGCAGCCCTACACGCGCTCTTAAGCCTAAACGTAATTAAAAAATACTAGAAGTCAGCGTCGTTCCACTACACCCAACAGTTCCCGCTCGCAAAACGAGCGGGAATATGTGTCGTGTCGTGGTTGAGTCAATACAATGTAAATTGGAATTAAAAAAAAAACAAAAAAACGACCGGGGGACCGAAAGCAACCTGTTGGCGCCGTTTTGAAGGGAATTTAAGGAATTCAAAGTCACCGCTGGGAGGTGACTCCAAAATTGGGCCGGTTCGCGTGGGCGCCCTACAACCGTCCTAGAGTTTTAAAGCGAGAATTTATTGCGGCGGGAAAGTTAATCACTTTTAATGGTGATTAACGAATCTTGAGGGTGTAATGGAACGGTGCCGCCCTTGAGATTTTTTCAAGTCGAGGGTAGTGGAACGAGACCCTATGTTTGGGTTGGTTGTCGAGGATTCCCAACCTCAAAATCTTGAATTGCAATATAATTTGCAATGCTAAAAAAAAAAAAAAAAAAAAAAAGTATAGCAAAGAAATGAATATATATTACCACATGGATCCCCCTATGGGACTGATGAGTTTTTTAAAATATTGTCACAGGCAGGGTTGCCGGCGTTCAGGACGGCACCCCCTCTCGACGCGTTCGGCCGTTCGGCCGAATGCGGATCAAAAAAAAAAAAAAAAAAAAAATCCAAAACAATTGAAAAACATATATGTTATGCGGAAGAATAAATTCAACAACATTTGCCTCAACGTTACATCCAAATTCGTTACCAAATTTGAAATAAAAATCAAATATTAAAAATAAATAATACTGATAAAAATTAGAAAAAATAAAACGAGAATGAAATTATTGAGTGGGCGAGCACGTTTTTGGCACCGCCATCTTTGGCGATTTTCCTTTTTTTTTTTGGCTATGACAAATGCCATGAAAATTTTTATATGTGTATCTTACATTATAGAGAATCTCGAAATAAATTTTGAAAAAATAATTGTTTTTTTCATGCTCCGAAATAAAGGAAAAACAAAAAGTGAAAAGAGAAAAGAGAAAAGAGAAAAGAAACAAATTAGTGAGTGGGAAAGCAAGTTTTGACACCACCATCTTTGCCGATTTTTCATTTTTGTTTGGCTCAACAGAATGGCTTCAAAATTAAGGAGGAGATACCTTACATCACAAAGAACGCAAGAAACAAAATTCAGAAAAAAATAATAATATTTAGATGCCCAAATAATTTTTGGCGGGGTCCAAACCCCTTTAGCTTCGGCCCCCGTACGGGGACCCGAACGCTCGAACGTTCGGGGGTCAGCTCAGGGGCCTCCGTACGTTCGGCCTGGCAACCCTGGTCACAGGCAGCTTTGAGGCCGCCTAATTTGTTTCGCTAGCAAATTTTTCCGTTTTTTCTTAGCTGAGTGTGAAGAGCTCTGGCATTGCAGTGGTGGGTGTGGGGTCGATTATGGCGGCTCTCAACCTCCGAGTCCCTTACACACGATTACTTGGTTAGCAGTTGACAGCCCATGTACTTATCCCCATCTGGTACAAATTAGTTACATACCAAATGTTGATGTAGCTAAGTGGGTTTAGGTTGGGAGTTGTACAAAGGAGGTTTTGTGCTTCAAATATGAATGAACGAGATAGATCATTTGTACAAAGATATACACAGAGATTTGGTTGGTAGAGCTCTGCTCGATGACGAAGACTAGCCCTTGAGAACAAAGGCTGGATTGGACAGTGTGTTGGGGACCGAAAAAGATGGCACCTGTTGAGGATTGGAGATTAGAGCAAGGCCTGACCGGGTTGATGGTTGAACATTGAGATTGAATTTAACAATTGGACTAAAAGAAAAACTGTATACGGTGAACATTACAACTAGAGCAATTCATATCGAGTTGATGTAGCTCAGTGGTCAGAGCACCGGTTGGAAATGCGCATTGTGGTATGAGGTTGCATGTTCAAAACTCAATTGCAGCCTTGTGCATGGACACCGGTAGGGCGCTAGAATAGCGCACGGCTGGACACACGCTACCCTGGGCTAACACATGGTATTATTACAGACACTGCCTGCGCACCAACCGGGGGGTCAGTCCATGGGTGTTGTATGCTGGTCTAGACTTCAAGTTGGTTGCTTGCTGTTGTTGGCTTTGGTCGCTCTGATGATCTCCCCCAGCCTAGACATTTCACACAGTATATCGACTTCCTACAGTAGTGCATGAGGTAGAACCCTCCAGTCTCATACTGTAGGTTACAAGTTCGAGTTCGGTTCCAGACTTTAGGGGGGTCCTGTCCAAATAGACCTGTCTCTACCACATATTACACACACACACGAGACACTACCC